AGTATTGATATGTCCTCTTATGAAGCACTGTATGATAGGAGATGTAGATCACCTATTTGTTAGGATCAGGTAGGAGAAAGAAGGCTACTCGGTCCTGAGATAGTACAGATTACTACTGAGAAGATTCAGCAGATACATGAGAGGCTTCGTATAGCTCAAAGCAGGCAGAAGAGCTATGCCGATAATAGAAGAAAGTTAGAGTTTAAAGTTGGTGATCATATTTTCCTTAGAGTATCACCTACTAAGGGAGTGATGAGATTTGGAAGAAAGGGCAAGTTGAGTCCGAGATATATTGAACCTTTTGAGATTTTGGAGAGAGTTGGAGCTGTAGCATACAAAATTGCATTGCCCTCAGAGTTGGCTAAAATTCATAATGTTTTTCATGTATCAATGCTGAGAAAGTGTGTACTTGATCCGAGTCATGTATGGAATTATGAGCCCCTTGGGATCAGGGAAGATTTGACATATTCAGAGTATCCAGTTAGAATTTTGGACCGGAAGGAGCAAGCTTTGAGATCAAGAATTGTTAAGCTAGTGAAGATGTTATGGAAAAATCATTCAGCTGAGGAAGCTACCTGGGAGCATGAAGATGAGATGAAGGAAAAATATCCTAATTTATTTGAAGACTCAAGTATGTCAAAGTTTTGAGGACAAAACTTCTGTTAAGAGAGGTAGTATGTAATAATTCTAAGTTTTCCTTAGATATATATAAGAAAAAAGTGTAGGGGTTTTAATGTAAATTTTTATTAGAGGGTTTTATTAGTAAAAAGAACCTTTATAAATATCTAGAAACCCTACCCTAATTCCTTCATTGTATCCCCGTCGTCCTTTTTCTCTGCTCTGGTCCTTGTCCCGCCGCACAAAAAAAAAAAAAAAAAAACAGTTTTGAGTTGAGAGGGAGGACGTGGTGATTTGATCAACTCTACACAAGAAATAAGTATTGCTTCTATATCTAATATTGTTGTAAAATATTATTTGTTGTAGATGAAGGCTATGCACCAATCTTATTTTAGGTTATTTAGATCCTATTCTAGGTGATGTTGACCTTGTTGTTTAATTCTGGCCATGGCAGACAACAAAATTAGTTGTTGCTCTTTTATTGAGCTCTTGGCCATGGCAGACAAAGAGATCACTTGTTGCTATTTCCCTTTGTTTAATGTTATACATAGTTAATTGATTGTTGGCTATTCATGACCCTAGTTATATTAGAATATTGATAGAATATGTTTAAGGGTGCATATTTATTTGACTGTAGTATGGGTGTGTAACTGAATATATGGCGCGCTATTAGTTAGTAGGCCTTTTGATTATTTTATAGCAGGTGTTTGAGCTGAGGCTTTACAATAGTATTGATACTTATTTATATGTATTCTATAGGGGTTCCAAGTGACTCCGAGGAGGTGTTGTGAGGGGTAGATGGATTATTTTCGGACTTGATGTAAGTGGTGAATTTGTACATTATTCGCTGCGTATTTTTCATATAAAATTATATTGACTATATGTAAGTTTTTTCTGATGGATTATACCCTTCTATATGGTTGCTCGCATACTAATTGTTGATTGGATAAATGCATGTGATTATTTAGTATAAGCCTATGCTTATTTTCTTTATCAATTTTTATGATTTTCATATTGTAGTAGATTGAGATGCATATGTGATTGATTTATTTCACTATCGGTTAGCCTTTGGCATTTTTATATAATGTATTTAGTTATGCGAACTTTGTTTAATTTTCTTAAGGCATATGTATCTCAGGTCAATAAACCGGTATATGTCGGATATAAGCAAGTTATTAACACAGGGCTCAATGTGCCTCTATGAGGTTTCTATTTTAGCGCTAAAAGCCCAAGTTTGGGTCTCATCGTCCCTAACACGGGCTTTATAATAGTGGGGTTTGCCAAGTCAACCGGAGTATCGAAGTGTTGACCGCATTGAGACGTGGCCTGCTTATTTCCATTGCATGTATATATTTTAAAATGTTGCATTATAATTTTTACTATTTTAGTATTTTGTTTATCAAGTCAATTTATTTTTAGTTTTGCAAAACTAGTGTATAATGTATGAATTTATCCACTTATTGAGTTGTGAACTCATTGTGTTGTTTTCATTCTTTTCAGAGACTCGGGATTAGGTGAAATTGAGGATTTGCCAAATTCTTAGAACGAAGCAAAGAATAATTCGAGATTGTTATTGTCTTCTAGGTGAAGGTTAAATAAAATCTTTAATGTTTAGTTGATGAATTGAGAGTTTGTAATAATGAGATTCTTTCTTTAGGTTGAGATTTATTTGGAGTTGAGGAATATTTATTTTTATCAAGTTAATTGGCTTAGTTTGACTTTTGGGATTAAAGAGAATTTTTATTGTTAGTTTTAGTTCAATGAAGAGATTTGTTTTAGTGCTCTTTTAATGAATGTATATTTTGGAGGACTTTTCACAGGTTTAGTCCGGCTCTAATATTCTTTTGAGGTTCGGAAATTAGGGTTGTGACAGATCCACTATAGATAAGTTGAAGGTACAGCTTTTGAAAGAGTTCAAGATGAACGATTTGGGTGAAGCGAAGCGTATTTTGGGGATGAAGATCGACAGAGACAAAGATAGGGGCAGAATTTGTTTAACACATGCGGCTTATTTGAAGAAGGTGCTACAGCGATTCAATATGAGCATGAAGACGAAGTCAGTCTGTGTACTATTAGGAGCCTATTTGAAGCTTTCAGCTGATCTTTCATCGAAAATAGTTAAAGATAGAGAGTTAATGTTGAAGACTCCATATGCGAACACAGTGGGAAGTTGGATGTACGCAATGGTTTGTATGAGGCCGAATTTGTCACAGACGGTGGGCATGGTTTCGAGATACATGCACGACCTGGGTCCGGATCATTGGGATATCATGAGATAAATTTTGAGGTACATTCGAGGTACACTCAACGTTGGTTTGATTTTTGAGCGGGACACTAGCGATGTACAGCTATGTTTGGGATAAATAGATCCGAACTACGCTGGAGATTTGGATAAACGCCGGTTGACGACAGGGTATGTGTTCACTTTGACATGTGCGCCGGTGTGTTGGAGATGCACCTTGCAGTCGACGGTGGCTTTGTCAACGACGGAGATAGAATATATAGCGATTACAGAGGCGATTAAGGAGGCGATTTGGCTTCAAGGATTTTTGGAAGATCTTGGTGTTTTGCAGCAATCCGTCAACATTTATTGTGATAGCATGAGTGCTATTTATTTGGAGAAAAATCATGTCTTTCATGCGAGGACGAAGCATATCGACATTCGTTATCACTTCGTTCGAGATGTTCTTGAAGATGGGGATGTGGAGCTCGTAAAGGTCCACACAAAAGATAATCCAGCGTATATGCTCACGAAGGTGGTCCCGAGCAACAAGTTCAATCATTGTAGAAATTTGTTACAAATTCGCGCTTGTTGAGATCGTTTGCGACCATTTGGATGAACTACGCACGGCTTGATCCCTTGAGAGGGGGTACGTAGGCAACCACATTGGTATAGCCGGATTTGGAGAGACGACGCATTGGTGCTCATGTTGGTTTCCGCTTAGTTTTGGGAACACTTCGCCGAGGTGAAGAATTATTTGAAAAACCAGGTTTTTAGTGAACAGTGTCGTCAGTCGACTGATGCCAAGATCAGTCGACTGAAGAAAATCCCTGGAATTGTGGAAAAAGTTTCTGCGCCGTCGACTGATAGGCGATCAATCGACTGATGAGCTCGTTTGGTCGACTGATAATCCTATCAGTCGGCTGATGGAACCGTGAGTAGTTTTTTGTGCATGTTATCGGTCGACCGATGTTTCACATCAGTCGACCGATGTCAGGTTTCCTGGGCTGTTTTGGTTTCCTATTCGGTTTTGGTTTGGTGTTTGATATAAATACGAACACGATTTCTAGGGTTACTAGAGGAGAGATTGTTGAGTCTTTTGAGCACTTTGAGAGGGAGATATTGTGTGAGAGTTGAGATCTTTGGTTAGAGTTATATTTGAGAGTTTGTGTGAGTTGTAACATGTTGGATTTCTTCTTCATATAGTGAAATCTCCCCATCATCTCCCCGTGGACTTAGGCAATTGCCGAACCACGTAAATCTCTGTGTTTGTGTTGGATTTTGACCTTTATTTGGGAATTGCACTCGTGTTTGGTTCTTCTCTCATCTCTCGTCAACTCGTGTGGTTTGCGAGCACGCTTCCGCACGGCGCGCAATAGGCTGGGTCCGGGGGGCACGTGACCGTCCTGACCCACCTGCCTCCGCATGTGAATATAGGTATAGCTGTATGCACTACTAGGTTAAGGTCTTCTGCACTCTATGTTATATGCGACAAAGTACTGCAGATGGATGGAGCATTATTAATTAGATATTTAGATTAAAGAGAGTGTTGCTACATCTGAAAGAGATTAAACAATAACTTGTTGAAAACACTGGGAAATGAGTAAGTAATCTACCATGAGAAAGTAATATATGACTAGACTTAAACCAATCACCAAAATATGTTAGAAATCACTAAATAACGCAACCCTTACCATAATCTAAGTCTTTTCCCATAAAAGAACCACTTTGGAGCATAGATTAACAAGAAAGAATATTTAAGAAAAATTGAAACATATTTAAAGGACTATATGGGTTTTCTATACCTGATTTAAGTTTGATGGTTAAATTGTCTCTCAGGATATGTTTTACAAATTCAAAGTATTATAAAGGAAAATTTTATTAGACTATTAAATGACTCGACATAGTTTATGGACAATTGGCTAATTTTGGTTTCATAACTAGAAATTAGCAATTCTGAAAGTGTGGTTAGCAATTTCCCTTAGGGGTCCTGTGATGGAGCTACAAATTTTCAATCTGTATTCAAATTGCATAAGGATTTATGCCTTGATCGGAAATACCATACATCTATTTGACAAATTGCCTGCAAATTTTCAGTGTTTTCCAAGCAATGAAAACGGAAAAAATGAAAGATTTTCATTATGTACACTTGTACACTAACCTTTTCAATGCTGCAGTTAGGTCAGGCTCCTCCTTGTAGTTAAACGCATCATCAAACCCAAACTTATTCTTTAATAGATCAACCTGACATAGCCACAAGCATTGACAAATGCATTATTTTTTTTGACATTCAATTTATAATCTTACAATAACTGTACTGCTAACAGTCAGCATGAAATTACCTTTTCTTTAGATCCAGCACTTCCAACTACATAGCAACCCATTAACTTAGCAAACTGGCCAACAAGTTGACCAACAGCCCCAGACGCTGCTGATACATAAACTGTTTCTCCTTTCTTAGGAGAACATATCTCGTGGAATCCAACATAAGCTGTAAGCCCCGGCATCCCTAGAGATATCACAGATACAGAGAAAAAATTGTTACTTATTCTTTTAAATATTAAGAATGACTAATCCACATGGACACATGTTTCATACTTGAAATGGCGTGTCACCGCATTTAACATAGAAAATGTACACTCGTGCAAATAATGTATATTTGACTCACACTGCTGTGTACTTGTTGAACCTAATTCTAATATAATGCTATCTAAAATAATAAGCTTTTGTGTCAAAGAGAGCAAAAAATACTGTCTTGCATATAATATTTGAGGTGAATAGAAGTTTACAAGTTTTCAAGTGTCAGACAATAATCAAGTCATTGTTGTCATTACGAATCCTCTTTCCAACAAGATTAGGTTTCTAGACATCATCTTAAGTTTAAGAAAAATCAAGGGGTGATTAAGCAAACAGAGCAGGAGAGGTTTGTCATAATCTAAGGTAACCTGGCAATAGGGTTCTCCCATGAAGGCTGTCGAGCAGATTTACCGATCTAGAAACATCCCTTTAGAAAGATGCTATCAGTGGTCGGGGAACTCTCAGCAAGCTGTAAAACTCATTAGAGTACAAGAGCGTCTAACAAAGAGAAATCACCATGCAAGATACAGATCTTTACTTCTTACCATCGAGTCATAAATATGGAACCAAGCTGTTAAGCACAATCTTACTCAAAATAAATTTTAATCAAATATTTTAAGAGATGATTCTTGAAAATTATCATCCTGATTACATGCATAAATATAATGGGGTTTTCATCGAGACCACCTTTAAAATGGGGATGACAATACAAAAACTACCTTTAAAGAGTGGCCCGGCAGCAATCAATCACCTGGACCTATTTTTCAGTGAAATTTCGATTGAAATACTTAAGTATTTTTTCCTGATATTCCAACTTTTTTTTTTCTTTTCATTATCCATTAACCCAAAGGTAGTTTTTGTATTAATTGAACTTTAAAGGTGATTTTATCTATTGTCACCCTATTTGAAAAGTGGTTTCTGAGGAAAAACCCCCTAGTAGATGGATGGTTGAGATATATTATGACTGACCAAGTAACTTTAGCGATGAATGAGGATCATCATAAATTAGTTCCCCTTACAATATATTATATATAATCATTATTTATAATATATATAATCATTATTTATAATATATTGTCTCTGGAAACGTCATGTGGCAATCTCACTCTAGCTAGTCACATGTTTAACCAACAGCAGTAAACAGCATCTATCCACATATGTTATACAACTACCTAATTATACAAAAAAATAGACACCATGTTTGCTAAAATATTCAAAACTTACCTAATATGCCCGTGTAGTAGGAAAGGGGTATGTCAGTATATTTGATTTTGAGTAGGCCTTTAGGCTCCGGGATCAGACTATATTCTTCCCATCCTGTTATCCCCCAAACCAAATCTCCGGCCTTGAAATCTGCATGTCCAGAGGCCACAACTTTAGCAACACCAAAGCCATAAATTACCTGGAAAGACAAAACAAGAATGAAAATTATGCTCTAAAAACCAAGTAAATGGGAAATTCAATGGCGTGAATCATCAGAAATTGGCCTTTATCATAATTGCAATCTTAAAAACTATACTGTATCAGACTATGTTCTCTAGCTTATGCATTGCGACTAGACTTAATTCTTGTACATCCCCTAGATTCCAGTGTTCGGAGACAATCCTCTTAAGTAATAGCAAAAAGATACAATATACATCATTTTATTCGACTTAACCAGCTCCCATTATATAGAGAGTGTAACGAGATACGATTGATTGAAAGGTAGTTGGAGTTGGATTTCTGCAAAAATAAGAGTAGGAACAACAATATTGTATGTAATGAAATACAAAAGCTGCAGATAAAAAGTTAAAAGAAAATCTTAGGACCCTTAAATAACGATTAGGGAGTGAATAAGCAATAGCAAGTGCATCACTAAATGAAGTCATAGTTGATTATCTCAAATTATACCCAAAGGAAATCTTGGCTTTTATATTTAGAACTTTAGCATAAAGAGGACATATTACAAGAGGACTCTCAAATATTTTACAGACTCTTACTTCTCTCTTCTGACAACCTCCTTACAAAAAACCCCACACCCTTCAGCTTCGAACTTCATTCCCTTATATAACATAAGAGGGAAACTTTTTACTGTTTACAGATAATGATAATTTACTGTTCATAGATATTAATATTACAAACTTTATGAAGTTGAGTAGACACGTTGCCGACATCTTGAAAGCAACTTTTATGAAAGTTGATGCCATCTGTCGCCAATTATTGATCGTTTAAGAGATAATTATGCTATCCCTTTGCCTTTTGTATCAATAGGTGAAATATCGTCTAGAATGTGCATAGCTTCAGCCCACATATCATCGGGTTCTTGTGCATCGGGGAGAATTGTATCTTCATCATTGGACTCGGTGCTTTTCTGTGATTTTGAATCTCCGGTATCAAATGCTTCAAAAAATTATTTTTTGATATATTCGAAACTTTTCTTTTGTATTTCAGCATGGGTGGCTTGAGGATATTTCCCTTGCATCATTTTTGCTATTTTTAGCATTGGATTTTCTTTTTGTACTTCTTGGGTTATAGAGTTTTCAATAAGTTTATTATTTTTCTGAAAAATTTCCTCAATTTGTTTTACTTTATCTTCTACTATGATAGAAGACCACCATCTATTATGGAATTTTTGTTTCAAGATAGGCAAATGTGCTTCCATCCAGTCAGTACCAAATGACCAGGTCCAAATCCAGGGAATTTCTGTTTCAGAGAAGAAATAGATAGCACATAAACCATCCACTATTTCATTTTTACTTAATCTTGAAATAATTGGGTGAGCTTCAACTCATGCAGAGTATAACTTCAATATGGGTTCTGGAAGAATATCCATATCAGTCCCGTATTTGGTCCACCAATCAAAAAATCATGCGGGAAGCCCTTTATAAATTGCTTCAGGACAAAGCTTAATGAGCCATGTATGTTTATTTATTGGATTTTGGTATAAAAATACCTTATAAAAGACTTCTTTATAGTCCCAATAATTAAAAGAGTATAACTCCCGATTGGCTTGAGATCTAACCAAAGGGATTTCTTGGTTTGGATTAATAGCCTAATCACGGGGTTTGATTACCTCTCGAATGATACATTTACTGAAGCTGGGTGGTACATTATGATTATCACTGCTCCAGAAATGAGTAATTTCCAAACCTTTCTGCACTATAATTGTCTTCATCCAGGGTCTGGATTTTAAAGATAGTGTTGGATAATAGTGTCATTTATATATTTTTGTCTGACTTTTTCATAATCCATCATTAAAGGAATATCTTCCTACTCAAGATATAAAACTATACCAGTTGGCAATTTTGTTCGCCATTTTACTTTTTTTTTAATAATGGCTGAGAATGGTACTGCTCCAGAAATGAGTAATTTTCAAACCTTTCTGCACTATAAGTGTCTTCACCCGTGGTCTGGATTTTAAAGATAGTGTTGGATAATATGTGTCATTTAGATGTTTTTGTCTGATTTTTTCATAATCTGTCATTAAAGGAATATCTTCCTACTCAAGATATAAAACTATATCAGTTGGCAATTTTGTTCGCCATTCTACTTCTTTCTTAATAATGACTGATAATGGTTCAGAAGAATCTTCTTTATGAAGAAGATCTTCAATGCCTTTATAAAAGGCAGCACTTGAAGAGCTAGCGTTTTTTTAGTGATTGTTCGCCATGAATTAGGAGTATAACTCCTGTTGCCAGATGAACCTCCATCTCTCCTTCCTCTCCCTAAAGAAGAGGGATTATTGGCAAATCCAAATTCATGAAAAAGACAGATATAAAACTGTCTTCATAGTCCCGTTTGGACACTATGAATGGAATGTAATGCCATTCGGTCTAAAGAATGTTCCTTCAGAATTCCAAAATATCATGAATGATATACTTATTCCATATACGGATTTTATCCTATCATAATTTTTTCAAATTCTTTTGATCAATATATTAAACACTTAGAAGTTTTTAGAAATATCGTTTTAAAAAATATATGCCTCTGCTAAAAGCATTATTGAAAAGGATGTTAAAAATTTAGTTTCTAAACAAATCTTTGCTCGATGGCAAGCAGAATTTGCTATGTATGAATTTAAAATTGAATATATCAAAGAAGTTAATAACCACCTTTCTGATTTTCTAACTCATGAATTTTTACAGGGTTCCTATACAGCGCCATAATCCCTCTTCTTTAGGGAGGGGAAGGGGAGATGGAGGTTCATCCGACAACAGGAGTTATGCTCCTAATTCATGGCGAACAATCATTAAAAAGGGAAACGCTAGCTCTTCAAGTGCCGCATTTTATAAAGGCATTGAAGATCTTCTTCATAAAGAAGATTCTCCTGAGCCATTCTCAGCCATTATTAAAAAAGAAGTAGAATGGTGAATAAAATTGCTAATTGATATAGTTTTATATCTTGAGCAGGAAGATATTCCTTTAATGACGGATTATGAAAAAATCAAACAGAAATATCTAAATGACATATATTATCCAACACTATCTTTAAAATCCAGACCCTGGATGAAGACACTTATAGTGCAAAAAGGTTTGGAAATTACTCATTTCTGGAGCAGTACCACTCTCAGTCGTTATTAAAAAAGAAGTAGAATGGCGAACAAAATTGCCAACTGATATAGTTTTATATCTTGAGTAGGAAGATATTCCTTTAATGACGGATTATGAAAAAGTCAGACAGAAATATATAAATGACACGTATTATCCAACACTATCTTTAAAATCTAAACCCTAGATGAAGACACTTATAGTGCAGAAAAGTTTAGAAATTACTCATTTTTGGAACAGTGATAATCATAATGTACCACCCAGCTTCAGTAAAAGTGTTATTCGAGAGGTAATCAAACCCCGTGATTGGGTTATTAATCCAAACCAAGAAATCCCTTTGGTTAGATCTCAAGCCAATCGGGAGTTATACTCTTTTAATTATTAGGAGAATAAAGAAGCCTTTTATAAGGTATTTTTATACCAAAATCCAATAAATATGAAGGAAATTCATGCTAAATACATGCAAAATACGTAACGGAAGACTATATGTATAATTATGCTATGCATGTAGAGAGCATGAAATACATTATAGGACCATCCTAATTAGATCTAACATAATCCCTATATTAAAGAGAGCATACAAGAGTTAGAAAGTCATACTTTCGAAGCGTGATTCGATGGAAGATCGAATAACCCCTAACTCTTGCTCCTTGTAGTAGAAAATCTCCTCGTAGTGGATCTCCAAGTCTTCAAGTGGGCTTGATAAAATGGGAGTCTTCTTGAGACACAAGGCAAGATATCCATCCCCGGGTTCTTAAAATTCCACTACTTCCTCTTGCTCAAAGATTGCTAAAGTTTAGTAAGAGGAGAGCTCTCTTTTATTCTCTTATGGAAAAAACCATTTAGCCAATTTTTCATTAGTCCTTCCATAAGAAAGAGATCTCATATTTATAGAGTGGAATGTGTTCATGACATGAATGACTCATCCTATGAGTCATGCAATGAATCATCAAATATCAATGATTAATCTAGTGAGTCATGCAATGAATCATCTTATGAATCATTACATTTCAAAACCATGTGCTAATAAACCATGTGCTCAAACCATACCACTAAATGACTCATCTCATGACTCATTATACATGGTATGTGTATTTCATAAATGAGAATACCAAATCAATATTGTATTTCATAAATACGATATTTTGTAATTTTCCAATCATTGATTAATAAGTCATCATATGACCAAAAAGTCAATGAGTTGACCACAAGTCAACTGTTGACCAAAAAGTCAACTAGTTGACTAAAAGTTAACTTTATAGGAAAAATACTAGAATTCATTTCCTAAGCACATAGCATTCCGATTTTATCGATATACATAACCGTTTATGTGTATCCGGTAAAATCATATATGCGTATCAATCATACGTATCACTCTATAAATTGTGTTTCATAGGATTCAAGTACGCGCTCGGTGTGACTCTAGGACCCAACTTAAGAACTCAGCAGTAGATCATATCCACAAGTACAACAGAGGTGCTAGCTACACATAAAGACTACCCGGGTATAAGTTGTGATAAACAGAGGTGCTAGCTACACATAAAGACTACCCGGGTATAAGTTGTGATAAATGTCTGCAAGATGCTTACACAATTTTATCAGGACCACTCAGTGATAATGCCGTACAGTCCGGTCTCTTCGTCAAACCATGTCAAACTATTAAGCCTAGGGTATGGAAAACTGTCAAACCCTAATTGCTCAATTAGTGTTTGTTGATATTAAACTCATAACCTATAAGATCAAACTGACAATCAGTTTATCTTATTTACCTTGGCCAAGGATTTTCAGGTTATAGTTATATCAAACAATCTTATGACATCAACCCCCTATACTGGGAGAGACGAATCCCATCTTGGCATCTCAATATCTACTTATGCCTCGGGATGTACCCAATTCAATAAGAACTGTGGTTAGGTAAAAGTCTAAATACATCTTTACTGACATATAAGATATTACACTCATGCCTCAGGTCAAGAGACTACTATGTACTATATCACTTGAGAACTTCTATTTGACAGTTAAGTATATTACCAACTAGATGTTCTCGGCGAGTCGTTCAGTCAACTCATTCACTAATGAGTCACCTGTATACTGTATTTTGATGTCTCACATCAATGATCTAAGAGATTGATCATCTCCTTCAAAAGGAGAAATAGAGTATACACTAGTCTTAACCAAAGTGATGATATCCTATCTCAATACTTCATCAACTAGGAACATTTTAGAATATACGTTACCGACTAATCAGATCTCTTCATTACGATCACTATCCGAAATGTCTGATAGTCTAGTATTTATTCTAAGTACATTATCTGTATATTTAGAACATCAGATAAATCTGACCAAAATAGCATACTATCATTTTGAACAAGAATGTTATATACATATAGGTCCTGTTACAATATACAATAATTGCATGCAGGGCATCTATATCTAACAAAATAAACATACATGGCTCATTAAGCTTTGTTCTGAAGCAATTTATAAAGGGTTTCGCTCATGGTTTTTTGATTGGTGGACCAAATACGGGGCTGATATGGAAATTCTTCCAGAACCTATATTGAAGTTATACTCTGCATGGGTTGAAGCTCACCCAATTATTTCAAAATTAAGTGAAAATGAAATAGTGGATGGCTTATGTGCTATCTATTTCTTCTCTGAAACAGAAATTCTCTGGATTTGGACCTGGTCATTTGATACTGACGGGACGGAAGTATAATTGCCTATCTTGAAACAAAAATTCCATAATAGATGGTGGTCTTCTATCATAGTAGAAGATAAAGTAAAACAAATTAAGGAAATTATTCAGAAAAATAATAAACTTCTTGAAAACTCTATAACCCAAGAAGTACAAAAAGAAAATCCAATGCTAAAAATAGCAAAAATGGTGCAAAGGAAATATCGTCAAGCCACCCATGTTGAAATACAAAAGAAAAGTCTCGAATATATCAAAAAACAAATTTTTGAAGCATTTGATACCGGAGATTCAAAATCACAGAAAAGCACCGAGTCCAATAATGAATATACAATTCTCCCCCAATGCACAAGAACCCGATGATATGTGGGTTGAAGCTATGCACATTCTAGACGATATTTCACCTATTGATACAGAAAGCAAAGGGATAACATAATTATCTCTTAAACAATCAATAATTAGAGACAGATGGCATCAACTTTCATAAAGTTGCTTTCAAGATGTCGGCAACGTGTCTGCACAACTTCATAAAGTTTGTAATATTAATATCTATGAACAGTAAAATATCACTATATGTAAATAGTAAAAAGATTCCCTCTTATGTTATATAAGGGAATAAAGTTTGAAGCTGAAAGGGGTGGGGTTTTTTGTAAGGAGGTTGTCAGAAGAGAAAAGTAAGAGTTTGTAAAATATTTGAGAGTCCTCTTGTAATATATCCTCTTTATATAAATAAAAATTTGCTTAGACATTGGAGCTGGAGCAAGAAGTGGTGCTAAGAATTGGCAAATTAACGTTGTAAGTGTTTTTGTTATGTTTATATATATACGAACTCATGCTTTTAAAGGGAGTATGATTTTTATTTTCCCTAATTTTTTTTATAATTTTAAGAATGACTTTGTCTCTTAATTTATTTGATAGATTTTGTAAATATCTCATCCACACTATGTATATTTGTAGGTCTGTGCTTGGGGCAGACATTATTTGTCTCATTAACATATTTGGTTTTTGCAGATATGCCCTTTATTTTGTAGACATTTGTGAATTTGATATTTAATAATTTTATTTAGATTTACATTTTAATTTAAACTGTATCATTATCTTCATACTATGTATATCCAACAAGAATTCATCAATTTATCAACTTTCCCTTACTTAATGGATTAATATTTAAATTCTAAGGGTATTTTTGTCTACTAAAGATTTTTACAAACTCGTACTTTTAACGAGAGTATGATATATATATATATATATATATATGGAAAAGTGAATCTAAGGTGACACCCTAGGCTCCCACCTAAGGACGCGGCCTAGAATCACATCATTTCCTAAATTTTTTTATGATCCGCTCCGTTAAACATGATCTACACGTTCTTAAACCCAAACACACCAATTTTGGGTGAACCCGTCATGTTTTGACCCTTTATCCACTCGCTGTAATTTTAACGGTTTCGAATGAATAGAACTTTTTGCACGGCTCAACAAATGGTCAAAACACAACGGGTTCACCCCAAAATTGGTGTGTTTGGGTTTAAGAACGTGTAGATCAAGTTCAACGGAGCGGATCACAAAAAAAATTAGAAAATAATGTGATTTTAGGCCGCGTCCTTAGGTGGGAGCCTAGGGTGTCACCTTAGATTCACTTTTCCCTTATGAGAAGAATTACAATTGAGGCATCAGATAGAGAGTATGCATCTAGCCTTAATTACCAATTTATGTATGCATCTAGCCTTAATTACCAATTTATGTGTGGACTGGTTGATTGGCTTTTCCAGGTAATTGAAAAGGAGAAAATTAAAAGGGAAAGAAGAGAACATTCAGAATGCGAATTAGCATGAAGAATATCAAACAATAACATAATTTGCTCCTATAAATTATTAAATTAATATCTTAACGACTAGAATATCGCAAACTATCAATCTGGCTGCGTGTATAACTTCAAAGAAACTAGTGAACTGTTATGAATGAACGGACCAAAGTAAGAGATTTGACCTAAGATAGATTGGTTAATATGCATGAAAATCAAATTTGACTGACGAAGGGGAAAGATCAACCATATCCAGACCTATCAAATATCAACCATGTATCCAATAAAAAATCATCAACCTACTTACTGTGGTTCTGAACTCATCCATTCACATAAATAAGGTCATAAAACAAAACATGAAACTGTGTAGCTAAACAGCATTAGCTGATCCACTCGATGAACAACACTAAATCACAAATTCAAAGAGGTTATGGTGTTCATACTTACCAGATTTACCGGATACACTAACTTACCTATAAATTGAAGGATGAAATGGACACTCTACACAATCACTCACCTAATCAACTGACAACATAAAACCCCCAAATTAAAGCTACACAGTTCACATTTCAAATTAAAAAAAAAAACCACACATACACTCACACACACAGATCACGAACTAACAATTTCAATACAAAATCATATGATGACATTGTCAAGGATGTCTTGTAGTCTTGCTTAGGTATTTTTAACTATGATATTAGGTTTTTGTTATTTTTGTTTGAGGGGTCAGGTGTTATGAGAGTTCTCATATTTATATTTGTATCACTCCATCTCCATACAAAATCAACATCCAATTCACAACTGAATACTTCATTAAAATGTAAAAAAGAGAGAATGAAGGATTAAGAGTTAACAAAACGCAAAAGCAAATGGCTTGCGATCAAATTACCTAGAACAATTTTAACTCTTTGGGGGAATTTGGGGGAAAAACTTTTAACATTCATCCAGCTCACAATTCACAAATTAACAATTTTGATACCAAACCAATGCAGAGAATTTACAAATTAAACATCATGGGTGTAGATAACCAACACAAAGCAAGTGGTAGTTATATTACGAGAACCAAAAAAGAGAAGGCAAATGGGTACCAATCAAATTACCAAAAGTGAGAATTTTACCCCTAACCCATATCACAAATCAACAAATTCCACACAAAGATTAGAAATTTGGGAACATAAATCAAATGGGCATCAATCAAATCACCCAACAAGCAATTCTAACACCTACCCAGATCAAAACTAAGCACCATGAATTAAAAAACATAAAATTTTCTTACTTCGCCAGGGGTGAAGGCATCTGTATAACTCTTGATGATAGGCTCTGACATTTTCCCCCTCATGTAAGGATCACAGGAGAGGAAAAGATTCTTGAGGATGAGAGAAGTTGAGCCATCAGGGATTTGGAGTGAGATTGAAGATGAGGTCAAGATCATGTCCTCTTGTTTTGGATAGCCAGTAACATAGTTTTTGAAGATGATTTGCTTGTTGCTTGCTCGGCTCTCTGTTAATGATGCTGCCATTGTTTCTGATTTGGGGTTGAAGAAATGAGGTATTAAATTGTTCCTGCTTTGGGATATGAGATCACTCTCAAGTGATTTTTTAGATAATTTTCACACCACCACTCTACTGTTTGTATACTAAAACAAGGTCCTGTAGTTGCCACTTGGCAACTTCTTACAATTTTAGATATTAAAATTTATTTTTATAATTCAAAAATATGATAATATTGAGAATATAAAAAAGTCATCTTTATAGTGTATTAAAAATCCACTAAATAAACTTTTTATTATGTATAACTTACAAATAATTTAACGTATGAATTAGATTATACTTTTTGTAACCCACCATTAACATATTAAGTCTTATATAATCTCATTCAAATTCTCAACTCATAACATCTCTTTCTCTACTAATCTACTATAAAATTTTAACATCATCATCTTCATCCTACAATATTTTATACAATCATTAATCTTCAATTCAAGAATAGAAAAATAATCTCCATTGGAACTTCATAAGCATGAGAAAAAAGATATAATTAATCTCTATTTTTATTTCACTGATAGTATATATGTCATTTTGTATTTTATTTCAAATTCTACTTCCATTCAATACAAACAAAGTGTATTATAAAATATACGATTATTTATACAGTTACATTTTAGAGGATGAAAATTAATATGAATATGTTTATTAAATTCCATTTTAGCATTTATATATGTAATATGTTGAATAAAGTTAAATCATAATTCAACAATATATTTTAGATAGTTAAAGCTAACTCAAGTTCTAATGACTAGGAGAAAACATTTTCAATAAGAGGAATATATCACAAAAAAAAGGTGTAGTCTTATTTTATAAATAGATATATACTAACTCTTTTGTTCTCATTATGTAATAGTAAGTTTAACAAATTTAAAGCATAATTCAAACACTCATGGCTATAATAAAAGTTATTTAGCATGATAAAATCCTAGCAAAAAGAATTATTGTTAACTTTCTTAAATATTTATAGTTTAGATTTTATTTTATTAAGCTAACTCAAGTTCTAATGACTGGGAGAAAACATTTTTAATAAGAGGAATATATCACAAAAAAAAAAGATGTAGTCTTATTTTATAAATAGATATATACTAACTCTTTTGTTCTCATTATATAATAGTAAGTTTAACAAATTTAAAGCATAATTCAAACACTCATGGCTACAATAAAAGTTAATTAGCATGATAAAATCCTAGCAAAAAGAATTATTGTTAACTTTCTTAAATATTTATAGTTTAGATTTTATTTTATTAATTTGGTAAATAATACATTTAAAAAAATTCATAGCAACGTGTGGGTATAATACTAATTATGGTTAAATATCCTCACTTTTTTGGGGGGAGAATTTTTTGAAAAATACCCTTTTAGAAAAGTAATTAGCAAAAACAACCCCTTTGCTAAATAATTAGCAAAATTGACCTTTTTGGTCACGTCATCAATGTTGACCAAAAAGTTTTCAATTTTGCAAAATTTATTGTTCAAAACACACTGGACTAGTAGTCTCATGTGTTTAGCTATCGCTAATAAACAGATTAAACTTCTCCTGAAAGTACACGGAACTAGTAGTCCCGTACGACTAACAGAGAACCTAACTGGCCCAAATGTATATACACATGAATACCAGTCTCATGTTTTTGACGGAGAGGGATACACCTCGCTCGACAAATACATAGGACTAATAGTCCCGTATATTTGTCGAGGGCTATACCCATTCGTGCCCAAAATTTGGGCACAACCGCTCTCTATCTCTCTTGATCTCCACCAACATTCTATTGCAATCTCCCACATTCTCAAGATGAACAAGGTAGTGTTAGACCCTAGAGGGGGGGTGATTAGGGTCTTATGCTAATCTAATCCGATTATATGGCAATTAAAATTAATTAACAAGTTATCCTAGCAAGTATGAAATACAACAATATATGAGCTAGGATAAACAATATAAATAACGAGATATATCCTAACAAAGAGATATAGGCTATGTATGTGCAATGATATATAAACAATCACAAGGGTAGATAATCTAAACAAGATAGTGGATGATATAGTAATGAGCAATGCACAATGGCGATATAAGATATGAACATAAATAAAAATGAACGTCAAAGCATACTCAAACGCAATCAAATGTAATAAAAGCTCAGGCCCTGATGGTTTCAGTGCTTCATTCTATAAGTCTACTTGGCAAATTATTGGTGAGGAGGTTACAAATGCCATTGAGGAATTTTTTTACATTTGGAAAGCTTTTGGGTGCAATTAATGCTACATCAATTTCTCTTGTACCCAAGGTAAACTGTCCTAAATCCCCTTCAGATTTCAGGCCAATTTCATGTTGCAATTGTATATACAAGTTCATTTCGAAGATCCTTGCCAGCAAAATCAAACTTGTTCTTGGTTGTCTCATAAATGAAGCTCAGTCTGCTTTTGTTAAAGGTAGACAGATCTCAAACAATATTTTACTAGCACATGAGCTTGTCAAGAATTATGGTAGGAAGTCTATTTCTCCAAGAACTATGCTAAATATTGACATTAAAAAAGCCTTCGACACAATCAGTTGGAGTTTCTTGGAGGATATGTTAATTGGACTTGGTTTTCCCAATAAGATGATTACATGGATCATGGCGTGCGTAACTTCACCAAGGTATTCTATTTCTCTTAATGGTATCCTGTATGGATACTTTAAAGGGGAAAGAGGTCTAAGACAAGATGATCCCCTCTCCCCCTACTTGTTCATCCTTGGCATGGAGTATCTTTCAAGGAGCCTTGATAAATTGAAGCATGATAGTTCATACAAGTTTCATCCTAAATGTGGCAAATTAAAAATTACACATTTGATCTTTGCCGATGACTTGTTATTGTTCAGTACATCAATGTTTATCTAATTTCAGTGCTGTATCTGGTCTTGAAGCAAATCAAAGCAAATGTTCAATTTATTTTGGGGGAATGGATGCGACTGTCAAAGCCTCAATTCAGAATTTCTTGGGGGTCTCTGAAGGTGCCCTGCCTATAAGGTACTTAGGAGTTCCTCTCATTTGCAAAAGACTTTCTTATGTTGATTGTTCTCCTCTCCTAAATAAAATTACAAATCAATTTCAAAACTGGTGGAGTCATAGAAAGCTCTCCTATGTGGGTAGATTACAAATTATTAAGAGTGTTATCTTAGGCACTCAAGTATTCTGGACTTCATGTTATGTCTTACCAGTAAAGGTGTTAAAAAGAATTGATGAGCTCTGTAGAAACTTTCTGTGGGGCAGAACAGATCAAGTGCTCAGGCCTCCGTTGGTTGCTTGGGACAAAGTTTGCACTGGTAAAATATATGGAGGGTTAGGCATTTTTTCTGCAACTGGTTGGAACATGGCTGCTGTTCTTAAAACTTTATGGTCCATTCATGAAAACAAAGAGTCTATGTGGATCAAATGGGTGCATGGCAACTATATTAAGAATGGAGATGTGTGGAATGTGGAAAGCAAGAGGAATGATTCCTGGTTATGGAGACAGATTCTTAAAATCAGAAACAAAGCCATCTCTGAATGTGGTGGAATTGATAATTTAAAGAGTTTGATCAGCTCCTGTTATAAGAACTCCAAAATTCATATTTCAGGCCTGTACAATGCCCTATCTCTGGTATCTACAAAAGTTCTATGGCATGATACAGTTTGGGAGAACTGGAATTATCCCAAACACAACTTTGTGTTCTGGTTGGCAATCCAAAACAAGCTTCTTACTCAAGACAAACTTCAAAGCAGAGGTATTATTCTTTGTGTTCTGGTTGGCAATCCAAAACAAGCTTCTTACTCAAGACAAACTTCAAAGCAGAGGTATTATTCCATCAAATTGCTGCAGCCTATGTTCAGGTGCTTCTTACTCAAGACAAACTTCAAAGCAGAGGTATTATTCCATCAAATTGCTGCAGCCTATGTTCAGGTGCCAATATGGAAAATAGAAATCATCTCTTTTTCTCCTGTTCTTTCTCTCAAGTAGTCTGGAATGGGATTACAAATTGGCTTCAGTTCAAATGGAGATCTTGTGAGTGGAATTTGCTTATTAACTGGTATTGCAACAAATTGAAGGGCAAGGGTTTCAAAAAAGATTCAAAAGAATGGCTTTGTCTACATCAATCTATTGCATTTGGAAAGAAAGAAATGAGAGAATTTTCAAGCAAAAGTGTAGAGCTCCTAAAGTACTGATCAAAGAAATCAAGGTGGAGTTGTTAACTATTTCATTAAACAACTCTAGCCCTCCTGATCTCAAAGACTGGTTGATTTCATCTTAGGGGTAAATGTATACAGGTTCGGGTTTCTGTTATCAAATTGTAAATAGATATCTCAATAGTGAGAAGTGATGTACATAAACTCTACAATTGGTTTTAATGAATACAATATTTCCATTGACCAAAAAAAAAAACGCAATCAAATGATCACGGAGTTCGGACCTTCCGTCCTACGTCTCCGCTCCCCACTCCCGGGGAGAAATCCACTATCAACCGGGTTTTCTACGTTCACCCGAATAACGTTTACACCTCACACTCGGTTTTCTAGCTAACCGAAAACTTTACAATCAACACACTATTGTAATCCCACTCTACACCCACTAAGTGTTGGATCTAGCCGTGTCTCCCTCAAGTGCTCGGTTACAACCTCTCCCTAGGCTCGTCAACCGACGCCACTCCTCTTGGGACGATCCCCGACTCTCACCACACACTCCTTACTCGGTGTACAAGTGTATTACAAAGTGAATCTCACAATAAGGCTCAATACAATAATTGATTATTCTCAACTATGGATGAGAACACAATGAAAGCACAACTCAAGGTTACAATCTCTCACCACCCAACTATACTATGTATGTAAATATTAAAAGCTCAATGTGGGTGTGTGTAACAATGAGTAAAATAAAATCTAACTCAAATAGCAAACTAGCAATAATAAGAATATGAAAATCAATAATGAAATTGCTAGAGAAAAGAGTTAGAAAACTTCTCTATGAACACAAAGAAGAGGATGAAGGGGATTGAGAATGAATCTCTCAATCTGCAGTGAAAACTTCCTCCTTTGTAAACAGAAACCCAATCTTTAAACAAACAGTAAAACCCTAAACCCTTGTTTAAAAACTTTGTTTAAAACACTTCTTAGCATGTTAAAAAAGAGCAGCAATAGGGTATTTATACCCACTCAAAACTCAGGCCAAAACCCCCAAGCAAAAGTCCAAAAAGCCCCAGAAAAATCAGCTCAGAAATAGCCGTTAGAACCAACGGCTCTATTGTCGGTCGACCGACAGCGGTCGACCGATGGAGATCTCGATTGACCGGATCGGTCGACCGAAAACTTATATATATAAAAACTGATTTGTTGATTTTAAAACCCTGTTTAAAAATATCAAATAAATTCCAAAAAATGTAAAACTTTGGGGAATGATTGTAGACATGATAATAAACATGCTACAATGTATAAACTGATATTTTGACATACTAGTATTGAAGTCTATAAACTAAGAATACAATATTTTCACAAAATTGCATATTCTATGCAATGTTTTCAAAAACACAATAGAAGATATGAAATATATAATTTCAGATATATAGTCATAAAAACTCAAAACACATGTATGTATATATATAACTATATATATGCATAGAAGCCAAAACTTGTGTGTATATATATATAACTATATATATATATATACGAAGAAACCAATAAAATGTGTGTATATTATTTTGAGCTTAAAGTATCTAACACACATAATATAAATCTAAACTAGATTACCCAAGCTTGATCTTGATCTTCATTGAGCTCAATTTGGTACACGATGCGGATGAAGCTAAACTTGGATCTTGAACTTGAATTGTACGATGCTTCACTCCACAATTCCGCCAACCTCCATTTGATATGATCGTTAAGGCTCGATTCCATCCATTCTCCAACAACGTTGTTTGTCTATAATAAATAAGAACATAAATGCTAGACAAACAACATTAGTTGTAAATTATTTGTTAACATCATCAAAACAAGAAGGCCAACAATCTCCCTCTTTTTGATGATGACAAACAATTTACAAAAAGAGATATATATGCATGAAGAAAATGAATATATAATTTATAATTCACATGCATATAAACAAGAAAGAAGATAGATATACTCACAATATTTCTCCCCGTTTGATAACATCAAAAAGGGGACAAAAGAATTAAGAGAGCGAAAGCTCCCCCTATCAGTAAGCATAGGTGAGTATAAAAAGAATATATATAGGGATTGCTCCCCCTATCAAAAAGCCATATAGAATATATGCAATGAAGATCATGACAAAACATATGTGAGCAAGCATACAAGAATATGCTAAAAAATTTACTCACATACATGAAGATAATGAGAACACATATAAATATGTCAATATGAAAATAGTGTCTCATTAACAAAAAAATATAAAAACCATATAAAAGAATAGATTTATAAAATCAAAAGAAGAGGAACATGAGAATCATGCAAAAAGTTTTCAAATGAAAACAAATCAACCAAAAGAAAAATGAAAACAAATCAACCAAAAGAAATCATAAATCAAAGTTTAAATCCAAAAACGATGTTTGATCAATTTAGAGAATTTTCTTTGTGGGATTTGATCAAACCACTCATAGAATACATTATAAGACACGAATAGATGATCTATAAGCACAAACATATAAATATCATCATATAAGTGAAATATAATGAATTCAAAGCAACAATTCAAAACAAAATCTTTGACAAAATAATTTCAAGAGAGGCAACAATATATCAAGCTCTTAAGCTTGTTCCAACCCATATAATCATTCTAGCATCCGGTAAATATGATTTGGGAATAAACACCCAATAAATCTGGAGGGTTATATAAATACAAACCTCTCATCAAAATCAAAACTAGGAATTATGAAAACAAAAGAATTTGACCAAAGAAAATTTGTTTTCATAAAAAGTTTCAAAGTATAATTTTTAAATAACCAAGAAAAGGAAAAATAAGAATACTAAAATTCTTGGTTTAAAATTTAAATTTGTTTTGGTACCCAAGAACTCTTGGTACCAAAAGATTTAGGGACATGACCCCTATCATTAAAGCTCAAAGTCTTAGGGTTATGAACCCTCTTAGGCACATATGGTGCACTAACATGGTCAAAACAATATTCATTCAAATGACCCTTCCAATTGTAATTTATGCAATGAAAGAGATCCATTTGCTTTTGTGGACCATTAGCTCGTGCACGGGAATCATTTGCAAATAAAGATTTTCTTTTAAAATTATTTTGCAAATGAGAAACATTATTAAACAATGGTCTATTTGGAACATATTACAATTTAGAAGCTTTTTGTATATTAAAACAAAATTTAGCAAGATGTCCAAACCTACCACAAACATCACATTTAAAAATATGTGGTCTGTTGGAAGCATTTGTCAAATGAGATTTTCTTTTCAAATCAAAGCAATATTTGGCCAAATGACCAAAACGACCACAATGATCACACTTGAACACACTAGCATGCTTATGATAAACTTTGTGAGAATGAGCATGTGAATGTGTAAGTGATGAAGAAGCTACATGAGATGCACAAGGAGCATTAGAATTCTTAAGTTTGTGTAAATGACCTTGACGGCCACAAATAGAACACTTATAAGTTTTGCTATACATGTGTGCATAATGAGTGGATGATTTTGACTTAGTCTTGACACACATGTCCATAAGCCTCTTATGATTATTAATGCATATTTTCAAAGTTGAATCTAAAGATGAAATACTATATTTCATAAGATTCAAATCTTCATTTTTAGGCACATATGCATTTTTAGAAGTAGAACATAAATAGTTATTTATAAAAGAAGCTGTATCATTCTTTATGTTCTCTACTTCTAACATGGTATCAATCTTAGCATGAGATAGGCTAGCAATAAATGAGATCAAATTTCCATTTTCCAAATTTAATAGGTCATTGCTTTCTTTAAGCATAGTATTTTTATTTTTAATGACATCAAATTTGGACACTAGCTTCTCATGATCGGATTTTAAAACATCATGCTTGCTTTTTAAATCATTAAAATCATTTTATAATTTATTAAAGGCATGCAATAATTTTTCACTAGCACAAGCAAGTTCATCACTAGATAAATCATTATCGGGTTCGAACTCGCAAACCTCACTAGGGCTATCGCCTAGTGGCCGTGTGCATGTTGCTCCGTATGAACTTGAAGTTAGATCCTCCAAAGCTTGTTGGATCGCCTCCAAGTCCCCTTGATGTGCTTCTATAAATTTCCAAACTTTGTAAGCACTATCAAAATGAACAAACTTGTTAGACATAGATGAATTAAAAGCATTTAGCAAATATTCTAACAAAATATTGTTCATTGTAAACATACGATGATCATTCTTATTCCACTTGGATTTCTCCAAAATGGGCACAATATAAGCATCATCTATAATTTCCCATAAATCAAAGTGTTTAGATTGAACAAAAAGTTTAAATCTAACACACCATTGGGCATAGGGGAAATTATCTAATCTAGGAGCAATATTGATGGCATAACCTAAACCATGCATATCCATAATATAAAAGGCAAGCAAGATATAAATAAAACTCAAAACAAGATTAGCACAACAATATAACTTGGATCTTTAACTCAAGGCGATTAGACCTTAAATCAAAGAGCACCAAGCTCTGATACCAATTGTTAGACCCTAGAGGGAGGGTGATTAGGGTCTTATACTAATCTAATCCGATTATATGCTAATTAAAATTAATTAACAAGTTATCCTAGCAAGTATGAAATACAACAATATATGAGCTAGGATAAACAATATGAATAACGAGATATATCCTAACAAAGAGATATAAGCTATGTATGTGCAAGGATATATAAACAATCACAAGGGTAGATAATCTAAACAAGATAGTGGATGATATAGTAATGAGCAATGCACAATGGCGATATAAGATATGAACATAAATAAAAATGAACGCCAAAGCACACTCAAACGTAATCAAATGATCACGGAGTTCGGACCTTCCGTCCTACGTCTCCGCTCCCCACTCCCGGGGAGAAATCCACTATCAACCGGGTTTTTTACGTTCACCCGAACAACGTTTACACCTCACAATACAATCACTATGCAATCACACCTCACACACTAAGTGTTGGTCCTAGCCCGTGTCCTCCTCCTCAAGTGCTCGGTTACAACCTCTCCCTAGGCACGTCAACCGACGCCACTCCTCTTGGATTCGACCCCGTCTCTCACCACACACTTCTCTCGGTGTACAAGTGTATTACAAGTGAATCCTCACAATTAAGCACAATATAAATCAATGATTGTTCTCTCTAACAAGGTGAGAACTCAATTAGGCTCAACTCAATGTCACACTATCCCACAACCCAATTATATAATGTATGCAAATACAATAAGCTCAATGGTTGTGTGTGTAAACAAAGAGTAAATCAAATCAAACTAAACTCAATTTTGTAAACAGAAACCCAAACTTAAACAAACAGTAAAACCCTAAACCCTTGTTTAAACACCTTATTTAAAAACTTCTTGTCTAACCTTGAAAGAGAGCAGCAATAGGGTATTTATACCCACTCTAAATCTCAGTCAAAACCCTTAACAAAAGACAAAAACAGTCCCAACAAACAGCTCAGGAAATAGCCGTTGGGAAAGCAACGGATCTATTGTCGGTCGACCGGAAATTCCAGCGGTCGACCGATGGAGCTCTCGGTCGACCGGACCGGTCGACCGACCAACTCTCTGCTGCATGCTGACGAAAGAACAACTGAGCGATCGACCGGATCGGTCGACCGAAAACTTATATATATAAAAACTGATTTGTTGATTTTAAAACCCTGTTTAAAAATATCAAATAAATTCCAAAAAATATAAAACTTTGGGGAATGATTGTAGACATGATAATAAACATGCTACAGTGACTGGTTATCAGAAAGGACCTCCCAAATGAAAAATATCATCATTTTACAAAATAGTCCAAAACATGAAAATATGAGATACTTGAATTTTGATGTTTTGACATAAACCAACTTTTGAAACTTTGTGAAATGTTTTTATAGACTTAGTAAAACATGTATAAATTGATATTGAAGTCTACAAACTAATAAGACAGTATTTTCACAAAATTGCATATTCTATGCAATGTTTTCAAAAACACAATAGAAGATATGAAATATATAATTTCAGATATATAGTCATAAAAACTCAAAACACATGTATGTATATATATAACTATATATATGCATAGAAGCCAAAACTTGTGTGTATATATATATAACTATATATATATATATACGAAGAAACCAATAAAATGTGTGTATATTATTTTGAGCTTAAAGTATCTAACACACATAATATAAATCTAAACTAGATTACCCAAGCTTGATCTTGATCTTCATTGAGCTCAATTTGGTACACGATGCGGATGAAGCTAAACTTGGATCTTGAACTTGAATTGTACGATGCTTCACTCCATAATTCCGCCAACCTCTATTTGATATGATCGTTAAGGCTCGATTTCATCCATTCTCTAACAACGTTGTTTGTCTATAATAAATAAGAACACAAATGCTAGACAAACAACATTAGTGGTAAATTATTTGTTAACATCATCAAAACAAGAAGGCCAACAAGAGAGAGAGAGAGAGAGAGAGAGAGAGATAAATGAGTATGCTTGGTACCAAGCACAAAATTTATGCTTGATAGTGAGGTGTCTTATTCTCATCCACTCATTCCAATTTCCAACCACTCTCAAACACATGTGAATGAGGGCCCCGATTTCAATGAGTGGAGGAGAATATGTCACCTCACTATAAAGCACAAAAACTTGAACTTGGTACCAAATATACCCATTTTATTTGGTAGTGATGTGGCATGTCATGAGCACTTAGATTGGAATAGATTGAGGGGATGTGTGGGTGAACTATTTTGCAAAAAAAAACCTTGGATTGGAAATATGGGTGAGCTGGCAACTCTCTCCGCTCTCTTATCTCATTCTCTCTCCCCTTCATTCCTATAGAAAAAACTCATTCTCTCCCCCCATTATCTCATTCTCTCCCCCCCACTCATCTCAGATCTGGTCGCCCTACCGTCGATAACCCCTATCGACATACCAAGCTGTTCTCACCCTTCGACAACCCCTACCTTTCGACCCGTCGACCCCTCGCCATCACCTTATCTACTGTCATCCTCTCATAATGATGACGCCTCCCTGTTCTCTCCCCTCTCTGCGCCTCCACCTCCTCCTCAGCCATTACCGACATCGGGCCTTTCTTCAACCGTCAACCCTCTCTCAAACTGCCATCGCCTCCACCCACAATCACAACCACTAGCCTTTTCCATCATCTCATATTATCCCTCGCTGCCACCCACGCTCGTCGTGGCCGCCTACCATCCAAGCCCCTCATATCTTGATTAAAATTAATTATGAGATCTGGGGAGTTCGCGGTGGAGGTTCTGGTGTTGAAGTTTTGATTTGAATTAATATTTTTTTTGGATTTGATGGGTTTATGGTGAATTTTGGTGGTGGATCGGATTAAGAACGAGGATGAGAGTGGAAGAAGAAGAAGAAGAAGTTGTAATTTTAATTTTCCATTAAATGTTATAATTATAATATTTGTTTATATCTTTGTAATTCCACTAGCAAATGCAAGTTCCCGTTGTAATTACAACTTATACTTGTAATCAGTTTATACTTTTAATCATGGTGTTTGATTAGATGAATATAAATTCAAATGGAAAATTCTGATGTTGAGGGGTGGTAATAAGGACTAACAAAACTTGTGAGTCATTGGGAAAAATATTCCCTTCCTCAAAGAGTCGTCAGATTCAACTCCTCATCATCTGTGCGATACGACTTGTTTCAGTAGGCATGCTTCTTGGCTTGAGGATATCAATTTAATTGTGGATATATTGTACATATAATTTGGATATGTGGTATGAAATGAATGAAGAAAGGTAAAAATCAAAGTAGTCTTGGCTTCTTTGCTTGAAAGATCAAAATTTTTCAAAATATCTCTTAGTAGCGACGCATACTCAAAAGTATTGACACATATTCAAACAACATCAACAAAAAATCTTAGTAGCAGACACTAACAATTAGACAACCATGTAAACAATCAATATGAACATTAACAAGTCCATATAAAAAAATGAATAAAACTGTACAACATTAAACCAACAATAAAACTGCACAACAATTACAAGTCTACTATCATCAAGAGAATATGGAAGAGCTCCTAGTTTTTTGAGTGAGGACAAGAGAACAAACTATAAGAAGCAAATTTGTACTCTCATTCACCAAAATAAAACCACAAAAACAAAATAACCTTTTCCAATACATTTGAAACTTCACTAACATCAAATAATCCATACAACTATAAATATCAATTCCAAACACTAAAAAGTTCACTAACATCAAATAATCAAAATACATTATTTTCCAATCAATTTGTCCAAACACCAAATACACTTCTTAACATAACAATACCATTTAGCACCAATAATTAGTCCATATAAGCAAATAGACGCGATCTACTTCAAGAACCATATAACCACATAATCTTTTCCAAACTAGCTCTTTGTTCTTGCACCCAAAATGTCCACACAAACTACCTCTTTTGCTTCTAGTAATGAAAGGAAGAAAAAAACAATTAGTGATATTTCAAGATAATAAAATATTTCTAACCCTAGTGATATTTCAAGATAATGAAACATCTTCTAGTAAAGAAAGAAAACTAAGTTAAACTTACCAATAATTGACAATATGTTCTATAGTGACCCAATTATTGACAATGACCACATCTTCGTTGTTTCACCTCCTTTTGCTCTTCTGATTCTTCAAAGCAACCTTTAATCCTAGTAGAATTTCTTGGACGTCCCTTTGGTTTTGCGGGATTGAGAGGATCACAAACTGTAATCTCCTCACCATCTTTCAATATGATCACATGAGTATTTGAGTCAACTTCACTTTCAACTTGAGAATCCCGAGTTTGAACTATCTTGCCCCTTACTTCCTTTCCCTCTTCCGTAACAAAGTTTTTTTTATGAATTGTTCTAACTTAGAAAGAAGATCATTTGAGCCCACTGCCATATCAAATGCCTCATTAAAGTTTCATCGTAAAGCTCATAATCTTATAATACTCTTCCGCTCCGTGCTTTCTTCATTTTGTCGCAACTTCATAGCATCAACAAAGACAAAATACCTATACCTTGCATCAATTTTCCATCTATGCATGATATACTTATCCGGAATAGAAGTCATTTGATTTAGCCATAAGATATATAAAATATGCTTACAAAGCACCCCTTCGGTTTCCCAAAATGCACAAGTGCATGCAACTTTAAGCTCTTCATTCTTTTCATAAGTTACCTCTTCCTAATTTTTCTTTCATCGAAATACTTGCCAACCGAATATACAACTTTTAACTCCTCCATCGATGTTTCTTCATAATGTAAGGACATCACATCACCAAGCTCCTTTTGAAACATCTTCAAGATCACCCTCGTGTATGTCCTTCCCACTTGTGCTTCAATTGGACTTGAGAAACTCATCACGGGCATGATATTCAAAGTCATGAAGTCTTCATGGGATTCTGATCCATGACGAGTTGCCACTGCCTTGTCATATTGGCCCACAAACTCAACAAGACTAGTGTTTGCATTGACAAAGCCATCGAAAAAGGCATTGATAATTTCACTCCTTTGGCTTATTGTCATTTCCACCCAAAAACAATCGTTCAAGTATGCATCCACCCAATGTTTATGCAAATTATACATTCTTGTTAGCCAACTATCTTCATCTTCATCTTCATCTATGCTAAATTTCTCCTTCATGACTTTCCACAACTCCTCACACTTGCTTATATTTTTAGCATAATACCAATTATTGAAATATGTAGGCATCTCATCCCTGTATTTGCTCTTCAACTTCACTTGTTGCTCATCCTTATGCTTTCTAATATGTCAAGAACAAAAACGACGACGAGTGTTCGGCAAAACTTTATTGATAGTCTTTCTCATCTGTGCATCTTGATCAGTTATGATAGCCTTTGGTGTGATCCTGTGCATACACTTGAGCCATTAAGAAAACAACCACACGAAGATCCCCTCTTGTTCGTCTGCAAGCAATGCACAATCAAAGAGGATGGATTGTTTGTGGTGGTTTACTCTCGTAAATGGAGAAAAAGGTAAACTCAAATGATTAGTCTTGTATGCAGTATCAAACACTACCACATCTCCAAGACTCAAATAAGATGCTCTAGCTCTTCCATTAGCCCAGAACACACTCCTCATAGTACCAAGATGATCGACCTCCATGACAAAATAGAAATCTGGATCCGATTCCCTCCTATCTTGAAAATATCTAACAATAGTTAAGCATTCAGTGTCAATATTATTGTACATTGTTGTTTTGATATGGTCAATTATTTATTGCGTGGTGACTTGTTCGTCATCTTCTCCCTTATAAAAAACATTTACCAACGATTAATAGTTGATGACTTCATTCCCTCTTCATGCAAGCTATCAATGAAGCTTCTACAAGTCTTTGATCGACGCTGTTGCTTGTGAGAATAATGATGAGCTACTTTGTCGGGACTTGTTAATGCATGAAGAAGTCATCCTAATCTTCATTTTTGCAACACAATTAATTCTAGTTTCCGGACGGCGGTTGATAATTATTCCACTTTCATTTTCCCTTGGCACATTCTTTCTCCGTGCTTCATTGCATTCAAATGTTCTGGAAAGAATCTCCCCTGAAGCCTTCTTTGACTTCTCCAAAGTGCCTTGGCGAATTCCAAACCCAATCTTCTTTCCATAAGCAATATAATAGTTGTATGCATCTTCGTCACTTATGAACTCCTTCACTTTAAATGGAGTAATATCGTCTAGTGGAATGCTAGTGTCTAAGATAGAGTCATCGGGTGCAATGTCCGTCATTTCAATATCTCCCATTGCGTAATTCTGTCACAATTAAAAAAACATATGAATTCGTTAGCTATCAATTTAAAAAAGAATGCAAATATCCACATTAAAATTACTTACATACACCAATAAACTCACAACTCACAATTCCCTCATATTGTCTCTCTTGTACACGGGAACTAAAAATTTGATTATCCACAATACAAAAGTTAAAAAAGAAAAGAAAAAGGCATCATACAATTCGACACTCACCAATGGAAAGGAAACTTTTCTACGAGAGAATAAAACTAACATAACTAAGAAGGTAACATGATTAGAGGATATAGTAGTTTTAACTTTAGTTAAAGGATATAGTAGTTTTAAGTTTTTACTTTGATTAGAGGATATAATAAGAGCCTATGAACAATGTTAAAATTTCATAATTAACTACTATATAATCACAAATTATACTACTTCCATGTACTCGCCTTAACTATATACAAATATTGATAGGCTCATTAACCACAATCACCAAAGTTGTCACCACCACAAACACCAACACAAATAAAGATTACGATGATTAGCCATAGATCAAACATATAGACAAATTTGAATATTTCCTATAGATCAAACAAATAGACAAATTCGAATTAAAATAAAATTTTATGCACTCTACATATATGTCTTCAATTTTCTAATTATATAAATTTCCATAAATCAAAGATGTAAAATGTATTATCTTCTCAACAAATGGTGTCATTATCGCTAATTATTGCTCACTCGAGGAGGCAGCTTCTAAGAGAATGTCACAATGAGAAGAAGAGCCATCCATTGTCAATATTGAGAGAGGGAGGTGCAGATTTAAGGGGAGCAAAGAGGGTCTTCACGCCACAATCTATACCAACTCACCCATATTTTGAAGGGGAGAGAGAATGAGATAAGGGGAGAGAGAGAGAGAGAGAGAGATGCCAGCTCACCCATATTTCCAATCTAAGGGGTTTTTTGCAAAATAGTTCACCCACTCATCCCCTCAATCTATACCAATCCAATGGCTCATATCATGCCACAACACTACCAAGTAAAATTGGTATGATTGGTACCAAGCGTACTCCATTTCCTCTCTCTTCTCTTCTCTTCTCTCTCTCTCTCTCTCTCTCGCTCATCTCGTGTCCCTCTCGTCTCTCTTTATATATATATATATATATATATCATATAGATTATATATTATATATATTATATATATATATATATATATAATATATATATAATATATATAGTATATAATATATATATATATATAGTATATATATTATAAGAGTATATATGATGAGAGAGAGAGATCACACGAAAGAGAGAGAGAGAAATTATGTGTTTCTTTTCATTACGAGGGATTTCCTCCTTGTCTGCCTATGTGCCGCTACAATCCCCCATCTCATTAAAGTAGCCACAACACCCCCACCCAACCTCACTCTCTCTCCTACTTTATAAGGAGTTGCTGGGAGGTGTCCATATAGCGTCAACGCAGGAAATCCCCTCCTCATGACAACGATTACCATTAATCTCATATACCTATATACCTACTATAATATATATATATATATATATAATATACTTATATATATATATATATATATATATATATATATATATCCGAGAAGAGCAGAGAGAGACGAGAGCCCAAGACTCTTATCAACTAATCAGTCAACTTAATGCATGTCCACCAAAGTTCTTAGGCCACACATTATTAATATAAACACCTTTTCTATATAATAAAAAGGATCCGCTAGGCAATATGATGTGGTTTAAAAAACTTTGGTGGACACACTATTCCGCATCCACTGTTAAGATTGACACAAGTTTTCACCTATATATATGATATATATATAATATATATATATATATATATATATATATAATATATATATATATAAATATAATATATATATATATATATTATATAATATAGTAATATATATATATATTATATATATATAATATATATATTATATATATCCCCTACCCCATCTCGTTCATCCTCTCCTACCTCAACTCCTTCTCCCTCAACTTTTTCTCTCTCATTCTCTCCAAATCCAAACCGAGCCTCCTCCAAAAATTCTCTTTTGATTCACTCTGACACTAAGCATTACCGCCTACCTCGATTCTCTCCAACATTGTTGAACTTTGATGTCATCTAACCTCTCTAATGCTTACGAGCTCCGACTCTTCATCAACGCGAATTTTTTTCATTTTTTATAACTTTTTAGTTTCAATTATAGTATGAAAATAATCCTATATGAATAATTTTATTTTAGTTTTGATAAAAATATAGTTTGGTTACAATTAGCATTTAACTAGATTTAGTATATTAATTTTGATATAGAGGATTTTTCAATTATGGTTTAACTATGAAATATAGAATTTAATATATGAAGTGTAATAAATAATTTGCATATGATGGAATATTAATCTTTCAGTTTCAATAGAGCACGGAATAGCCATTATTTGCTTCTTCAATGAAAGACTGAGTGTTTGAATGAATAATATGCCCATATACGAGGGAGAATATAGAAAAATGTTCATGTTATCTAAACCATGCATTTCAATATAATGATGAAGGAAATGTATAGAGTTATTATAGTTAACGATTGAGATCATGCAATTAAGGTGTTCTACAACTATTTGCTAAATGAGATTAGAACAATTTCTATAGAGATCAACAATGATCAAGAATTGACTGACATGAAATAGCTCTCTGAAAAACAAATTTCAATCGAGTTATTTATTGAGAAATTTCTAATTTCTGGCATTGCCCCTGTTTTGAAAGTTCTAGGAGAGTTTTCCCATATGCTTGACTTAAAAAACAACTCGAGTGAATTTATGTCGTCTCCAAGTGTTGTGCATTTAGAAAATGACACGAGTGAAGTGGCATTGACTTAACTACAATGTTTAAGCAGACTTCTCTTGGTGTGACGTCAAGTGTTATGTTTGATAACCCTTCGGGTTATATTACTTGTCATGCACCGATTAGTTCCACTACAAAAGAGATTATGATTCGGAAGATGTTGAAAAAGATGAGCGATTTGATAGTATACAGTGTACTCTTGGAGGCAATGATGAGGACACCTGTTGGATAGATAATTTTGTGTAAATAACAACTATGTGGAGTCTGAAGAACCATTGCTAGAAGAGTCTTAAAATGAAAATTGGATAAATTCCTCACAAGCTGAGTTTGTTGATCTTGATTCCAATTTTGATTGACCTGAAGACTTCATTTTAAAAAAAGGAGATTTATTCGAGAACAGGGAGATATTCATTTTTGCTATTCATGAATGATCCATAAAGAATTAGGTTAAATTCAAGCTGTTGAAAACTAATACCATAAAATATCATGTGAAGTGCTACTTCAACAATGAGAAGGGTTAAGGAGAGTATGCAAGTGCTTAAGATGAAAGAAACATGAAGTCTCCTTCGAAGCTAAATGTAATTGTTAGAAATAAAATCAAATGGACAATTTATGATATCTAATTATTGCGAACTTCATACATGTTACAATCTGACTATCAATTCTTTCTTATATCTCGAAGCTAATTATGCCCTAATTAAGGAGAGAACTTGATATGACTCTAGGTTAGATAATTACAATGGTATATGGTATGATCAAAATAACCACATCCAAATATAAGGCATATGATGCATGTAGGAAGGCATTGACTAAAATCTATGGAGATTGGGAGAAATCGTAGAATTACTTTTTTAATATCTTAAAGAAATTAAGAGAAAAATCGGGGTATTGAATATGAAATATTGTCTAAAGATATTGCCTCGGGATTTGAGAGATTCACATGAGTATTTTGGGCATTTGGTTTCTTTATCAAGGGGTTCACATTTTTGTCATCGGGTTTTGAGCATTGATGACACACATTTATTTGGTAAGTACAAAGGAGTACTTTTGGTTGCAATACAAAGGAGTGCTTTTAGTTGCAAACGGGAGTAGATGCAAATGGTGGGCTATTTTCATTAGTTCTGTAGTTGTTGAGATAGAGGACACATCGAGTTGGAAGTAGTTTTTTCAATGTACATACAGGTAGACGGTTTCTATGGGGCGTAGGCCTCCTAAAAGGTAACGAAGATGTGCAAAGGTTTCCTCAGTTAGGACGGAGATTTAGGAATCCTCTTTTCATCTTTGACTCTCTCACTCCAGTTGTTGCCTTTCTTTTTGTTAGTTCAAAATTAGCTGCTTTAGCTTCAACCACGCGAATTTTTGATATTCATTTTTATTTCTTATCAAACGAATGGCATCCAAAGTCCTAAAATGATTACTTTTATTTTTTGATGGGATGAAAGGTATTTCACGGGCTTTATATGAGGGTTTCAAAGCACCATATCATCATCGATATTGCTTGAGGCGTATAAGAGATAATTTACAAAAAATATAAGGAGGTTAATTTACAAAATCTATTATGGGCAGCTAGATATTCAGTGGGCACACCAAAAAATGAGTGCATAATGCAGAAAGGATTGTGGTGGTAAGATCTTATATAATTACTCCATTCAATGACAATGAGTGGGAGGTTAAAAATTATGAAGGTACCTACACCGTTTATATCTACGACCAAGAGTGTAGTTGTACTTGCAATATACTACAATTGTAAAAATTACCATGTGAACATATTTTAGCTACTAGTCCCAATCAAGATGGTGGTGCTAGAATGCCTTATGCTTGGTAATGCTCAGCTTGCTCAGCTTGGTATTTAACGAATCATTACCAAAAGACATATAAGGAGAGTTTTCATCCTCCCGATGATAGTCGCTAGATGGACCATATTTATTACCACCTCAGTACAAAAAGACAAGAGGGATGATCATCCTGTTCAGTGCACATTAGATGTACCACTGATCAAGGGTGAGAAGAAATGACGTTATGAATTAAGCGTAGTCAATGCAATCAACTTGGTCATACTAGGCCTCATTGTCCATCAAGAATAGGTAGATAACACTTAATTGGTAACAAGTTTTCCATGTTTAGTTCTTGCTTTTTATTATAATCTTAA